TATAGGTGCTGGAACTGTACTGCCCACAAAGTGGCCCTAGATGACTGGCTGTGAAATAAGGTCAGATAATAATTGGGTTTGTGGGAAGGTTTGTCTACTTTGGGAAAAGTATATTATGAAAGAAAAGAAAAGGCATATTAAATGTGAAGTGATATCTAAGGCGGAAGGGAACTTTTATTTGGCTATACTGGTGGGTTTTTGCCTTTTTTTTAAATGCGGTGTGACTATAATGGTTGTTTGGAAGCTATGAAAAAATTGTGGTTATTTGAAGGAAGAAAATGTATACTTGGGTTGTGCTCTATTTCGCTCAAGAAGACGACACAAGTTTTAATGCTGCATAGGTGCTGCATTATTGCAGCTTTCTGCACCCTTGGTCAAACCGCATTGGTAGCTTGTACTTCCAATGAGGCTTCTGTTCACTGGAAGGTATCTGATACATGTTTTTGTCCTTGTATTTCTTGATTGGAAGAAACTAGTTTTCTTGCATTTCCAAAATAGGCGATGTTGGAGAGCACTACTGGCAAAGATGGGGTGATTTTTGTTACAGAATACGGAGAAACTTATATGCATGGATAAGGATTCGTTTCCAAAATATATACTATCTATCAGCTCAGCCAGCATGTGTGCTGCACTGGCTTGTTGTGTAGGTTGGTGTCTAAACTAGTACAAGCCCTGTGGAAGGAGTTCAGATATGGTTGTTTTTTCTGCACTGTGATTGATTATTGTGGACGTTACGGTGGCCAAATGAACAAAATATGAAGCAACTATGCTTCCATTGTATAGATCTTCAAGTGATCAGAAAGGTGCCTAATCTTTTTATTGAAGTCAAGATGGTATTACAAGACATCTAGAAATGTGGTTATGTGCTACTGTGGATGCGACTGTGCGTATGATTTGTGGAGCGTTGAGGGCATGATAATAATTCTGTGGATGTGGTAAGGGTGTTATGCATTGGCTTGACATAAAAGTTAGGTTTATTTTTTGCCTTCTCCTGGTTCTTTGGTAGCAGGGATGCTTGCTATTTGCGTTGGACATGACCAAATATGCATTTATTTGTTATGTTGATCGACTTGTTATTGACATGTATATGTTATTGCCCCAAAGTAAATGCTGCCGTAAATGTCAAATTCATGAGATGCCAATGGGAATCAGAAAGTCTGCAGGGATTATTCTGTGGTGCAGCAGATGTACTATTTTCCCTGTATGGAAATAGGATACTTACGAAGTGCTACTGTTTTTTTTTAATGTCAATATGTTTTTTTTGCCTCTATATATTCATATAATTTATATTCTAGGAAGTTAATTTTGTTTAGGTAGGACAACTGCAGTAGATCAGAAAAAAAAAAAAAATAGAATGCAATTTTAAGATTTTAGGGAGGGAAATTGATGGGGCTGAAGTTTGTCGACTGTATTTAGTAAATGGGGCGACAACGATGGCATGGGGATCAAGTTTTCATGCAAAGACCAATCGGTTTGGCTTTCACCAGCCTAACAAATCTCAGCCTCATTCTCATCTGGATTCACCAGGTACTGCTGGTCCCGACACTTTGTACCGGAAATGCGAGTGATGAGAACGAAACTAAGATTTAATTTTCAGATTCTCATTTGTATCTAAAACTGAAATTTCGTTTATCTTCTGGACTGGACTCTAGAACTTTAGCCAAAAAGAGTTCCCATTTGCTTTTTCATGGATCATATAAATCCAACAGAAAATCATATGTAAACCCTGTTTAATAAAAATTTCTTCGAAGTGAACGAGAATGCACAGATACACGTTACTCGTAATTCTAAGAATTACTTAAAAAGAATATTCATGTTGCTGATTAAACAGCTACAGTAACAAAGACAGATTCTCTCCCTTTGGATGTGGTTGCCTTCTCTCCTGCTCAGCTGCAGCATATCATTCAAGCGTTTTTCATCCTGAGGAGTTGTGTTTAAAGATGCTCTTTTCCGCTTTCTGTACATTGTTTGTTTATCAAACAAAAATTTTAACAACACTATATACGATGCCAGATCCACAACGAATCAGCCTGGTGCCTCAAGATTATGGGAGAAAGGGATTCTGAGAAGGATATGCCTTCTTTTGCCTGTTGTAAGCCCTGATATCAAATCAAAGACAAAACAAACACATCCAGTTTTTAGTCAGCTGTGTCATTCTTCGTCAAACAAGAAATGACCATCTCTGGGGTTAAGATTGTCAATCACCTCACCTGGCAGCATTTGATCCACCTAGAGCAACTGTTCCCAGAATGATAAAAAGGAAAGGGATCCCAATCACAGCATGATTTCTTCTTCCTCCCCGTGCCCTTGGAACTCCAGTTCATTCAACTTTGGAATACATAGCTGATCAGACAAAAAAATTCAAATGATGGGATAGTGAATGTGCCATGGCATTACTAGAGAGTACTTACCTTACATTTTTAAGGCAATAAAATTACCTGCACCTGAAACTTCTCGTCTTGCACCTGTAATGGCCATTACATGAAATATTTAGCAAAATTCTACTTGAGGATACCGACTTCATAATTCTTCAAAGGAGGCAATTATCAATGTATCAGGGTTTGCATCTCCCTAGTAACTACCACATTTGATAAAAAGTCACTTGCACAAAAAAAGTGGCTATTGAAGTGATTTAATTATTTGGGAAGTAAAAATTTAAATACTATTGAAGATGAACTCTCATTTTCAAAAGATGAAGATTCAGAATTACTTATGTACATGAAAATTTTAATTAGAAAAAAAACAAGTTCAACAAACATAATACAAATAACGAAATGGGAAAAAGCATTAATATGTTCATTGGAGAACAGGAGTGAGCAATCATACATCATAAAAAGAAAAGAAAAGAAACGAAACGTTGACACTGTGCCAAGAATGAAAATGGCAGAAGGGAAGGGAGTGATTATCACCAAAATATCGTAACATAAGAAAGATAAGCAAGCAAGGAAAGGGAACAAATAACATGATACTTTTGGAAAATGAATACGTTGATATTCATATATCACCACAAATTACAAGATCTAACCACTAATCGCATCAATATTTCCAATTGATAGAGGTGTAAATCACTCAGGTTGCCGGACCACATATATATCAACTTCTACACCAAACCATCATAAATCAACTTCAACAACAGTGGTAGCAATCACAAAACAAGTTAGCCTTCAAAACTTAAATAGCCAATGGACCATTTCAGCAGTTCTCCTTACTGCCTCTGATTTCCATCTTCATCTATATCATTTTAATGGTGTCGTCTCCATAGAAGAAGCAGTTTGATAAATTAGAGTTTTAACAAACATTGTATGTGACAATAGCTTTTCTGGACCAATGCATATACAGGCATAGAGAAGAATGATTCAACAGATCATCCCACCAGTAGGGTGATACACCGCTTAAAGAGCAAAGGTGAAGTACTAAGAGTAAATTCAAGGGGTAATCCAATCAGATTATATCATGGCATTATTAATTAGACTGGCAAATGTAATCAATAGCTTGCCTAGTCAAATGGTAGTTTGCAAACCATGATTCTTAAATAGCTTTCCAATTTCCCAAATGTACAGAGACAAGAGAATTACCAGATTGCAAGTAAGTGTAAGCTTCTGAAATCTGCAGCAAACACAATTTATGAGACTCATACAGAAATGATAACCAAACTAGAAGTGGAAGAACAAACAGCTCAGGGCTTTCCAGGATCTAAAATCATTGTTTGGGACGAAATTTTACACTGATAGAATCCCAAACTAACTTGGTATACAAGGCCAATCTTAGTTGCGTAAGTTATTTAGGTTGTTTGGCTTCTACTATTGAAGCACATAATTAGAGATGACAGTGACAGGATCAATGTTACATGAATATGGCAAGAAGTATGCAATTATGGGGCTAGATCTTAAATTTTCATTTTCATATGATGAAGGAACCTGGAGTATTAGTCAACCTATCCACATATTTTCCGATACCCTGGCATAACATTAAGTGTTTTCTCCATGGAATGTGTCCAACATGTATACTCCACTGCTTTTTAAAATCACCATGAAAAGAGAAACCTATGCGAAGAATATTTTAGATCATTTATAATGTCATTGATGAAAATACAAACAAGCATTTGAAAAAAGAGACCTTCAACTAGGATTCAAATCCTTACCAATTTGAACTTGCACTCTGCATGAGGTTTTTGATGAACCGGAAAACGATCAGGATGAGTTTCCCATACCTTCCTTTTGTAGGCTGCTTTAACCTACAAACATCGATCAAATTGACATGAGTGTTCATATAACTAATAATATTTAAACGACAAACACAAAAGAGTATATCTTTTCTTGTTCATAAGCTCAGGGCTATAAATGTAAATGGACTACACAGAGAACCCCTCGTAACAGGTCATCAAATTTACATGGCTCCGTATAATTGTCATTTCCTTACAGATTTTAAAATCGACTAAGGGATTTCATATTTAGACAATAGTCAGATGTTATTAATATCATGGTTTGAGATGACATGACTCAAAAGAGATTGGTAGCTTTTGAAACATCCAAAGAAACACAAACACTACAAATGATTGATGATTACCCACTCATTTTCTGCAATCATACAAACCAATACAAGAAACAAACTCAGCATATCGCAGATGTGGAATGGCAGACCACCTCATAGCCATACATAAGATGAGAATAGGGTTGATGGGACATTTCCAAGTACTCTAAGATGAAGACACGTGTCCTCGGCGTCACTAAATTCTTTTCCTATAAACGCGACACGTACCCGTCGGATCATAAGTCCCTGTTCCCCCAAGGTACTGTTCATAGGGATCAATGACATCCAGTACGTTTACATATTGACACGTATCTCTCGGGGTCGGATAGGGTACATTGGTCCTACATGTACCAATCCCCCTTGGTACCGAGATGTACCCTCCGTCCAGGATGGCGTTTTTTGCTCCTGCAGAGGCTATTGATGTACAGGTCACTAGCCTAGGCTAGGCTAGGTTAGCTATCATGACCTCGTCTTACACAATTGGCGTCAGAAGTCACAAGAAGGCAGGGGACATAGCCAATGGGGAATGGACGCGTGGCATATTGTGTCACATCAGAGACAAAAAGACCGGATGCCCTTGCTGACACACGACTTGGGAAAACAAACATTTAATTACATCATTCCCTCGATGAGACAGCATTTAATGCGGTAAGGCTCGGAAGTGAAAGGTAATAAATGTCCCTAAGGCTGGGCATTTATTATATCCTTGCCGAGAGGAGCTCATTAAACAGTCGGCAGGCCGATGACACAGCCTTGGTTGCTCGGGATCCCGAACAGTTAAAAGAGAAGACATTCCTCGTAGGAATCAGTGCGCATGTTGCCCGCATCCAATGATCACCTACTGACCACACTGACAGCAATCATGAGTATTTGAGGTATAAATACTACTCACAAAAGACAAGATAAAAGAAAAAAATATGAAACCTTTGCTACAAATTATACTCAGTATTTTCTTCTTCCTCTCTCTCAAAAACTGACTTGATCGTCGGAAGGGATACGCCGGAAAACACTCCGGCGCACTTCTAACTTGTCTTTCTTTGTTCCAGGAACCTTCCTCAGCCTTACTGGATCGTTCCGTTGATCCACGAGGGTCTCCCATTATCGTTCCAGGTTACCACCGGACCTCATAGGCTGTTCCAAGCAGTAGGGTTGACCACTCGACTGACTCACTCGAGTTCACCAAGGGAGAGATCTGTTCTCGTGTTTATATTGTGCAAGATCCAGCACGCACAATCTGGCGCCGTCTGTGGGAAACGACTAGTTTTCCTAGTTTCTTCTCTATAAAGAACAGTGACCATGGTGAATACTCGACAAAAAGGGAAAGGTCCCCAGCAAAGAAGTCTTGAATTACAAGCTCCATGTCACCATGGAGGGAGGGATCACACTGATGGGAATAGAAATGCCTCTATTCAGTCAAGAGGGCTTACTCCTCAAACCAGTATGGGCATCAGGTCAGGAGGATCCGCCCCCTTGGCTCGTCAACTGGCGGAGGTGATCGAAGAAAAGTTGGGGATCGATTACAGTTGGAAAAGGACAATGTGAACGTCCTAAGCCGGCTCAACGAATTCGCCGCCTCCGGCGAAGGGTCGAGGGACTCATTCCTTTCTCGTGGGCTCCCCGCCCGGGAGGCGAAAACGAAGGATCTAAGGAATCATTTAAATAACAAGGCAGAAAGCTCCAGGGCCCCAAAGCGACCGAGAGCCAACGAGCACCCTCTTAACGACCATTCCAGGAAGGCAAGACCTTTAGCCCTGGACGACCTCCGGCGAGGATTGTCGAGACGGAGGAAGGGAGATGAGTCCGAGGAGGATTCAACCCTATCCACACGGCGCCCAGGAAATGGGGGACCTATTGATGAACTCGGGGACTTCAGAAGACATCCCGTTGGGGAGAAAATTGATCTCAGAGCCCGGTTGGAATCCAGGAGAAAGAGTAAGGCTGTCCAGGATGAGGTCGAAGACGAGGTCATACAAACACCCTTTACCAGGGAGATCGGAGAGATGGAGGTTCCAAAAAAGTTCGTCGTGCCGAGGTTCAA